ACTTGAACCTTTAATCTCTAATATTTTATCTAACCTTACAATCTTTTTTCAATACTTCAACTCTATTGGCTTTTGACTGACTTTTTTGTAAATTTTAATTCTTTGTACAGGACGCAAAATAAAGCAAACGGAACGCATCGGAATGCATCAAAATAAATCAGAAACAAAACACATGTTTTGGATTATATTTCAGATTTAATTTTTATGCTTTAAATACGTTTTTTTAAGACGTTTATGAGCGTATAATTTACTTATATGTTATATAAGAGAATTTATTTTGACGTAAACGATGAAAAAATATCAAACAAATAATACGAAAGCATTCAATATTCTGATTTTAGATATTTTTATTTTAACCGAAATGTCGGATGTCACACTTGTTATTACCCTCTCCCTCTTCTTGGAGAAAAACTGTCACGATGTCACGAGCCGCCCCCCTCCCTTCCAATAGTATGGACGGTTCCTTTCAACTCTTCCTGCATCCATACACTATTAACATTATACATACAATAATGTATTTAACGAAAGTCTAATGACGCGTTTTTTTTTTTAAATTTCCAACTTAATTTTAGTAATTACGTTATTACATCGTTTTTTTCACTTTAAATGTTGTTTCATTTTCTTTTTTTTTTTATGTTTATTTTAAGTTTTCATCCGCCTTTTGTCTGAGTTAAAAAGAATGCATAAGAAAGTGTTACGTTTTTATATCGATTGTTACAGGATGCAACAATGAAATTTATTTCCTCAGATAGCACCTTTCACATTTTGAAAAAACGAAGCTATTTCAGACTAATATGCACGCAAATCTTCTACGTCTCCATTTATCGCTTTACTTTCTTACTCTGTTCACATTTAACCATTAAAGATAGTTATCAACACACTTTTCTTTTGTGTTACAACGTTGCCAGTGTAAAAGCAGGACAGAGCGCAATTAAACCATCGAGACAACTGCAGCATCCTAATTGTCTCATTTACAGCGACGCGTCATTTTTCTTGTGCGATTCGTTTCGTCAATTTGATGATAGAGTTGGCGGGATTGATGGATGTGCACTAAGTGCGTGACGTCTAGTGTTACAGCTACAATTCGTGACAAATTGATTAAAAGTAACAAAATAGTTTAGTTTTCCAGCCAGCATTTTCCTCAAGTGCATCATGAGCGTCTATCAAAACAGGGCTTACTTGACAATTATAGCTGCAGTATAGCTGATAAATGATTATTAATTTTTTTCTTCTTTGGCAAAGAATTGCTACCTCCCACTCTATGGCGTGAAGAATGATGGATTGTCTCATTTACAACTTTTTTTTTCCCTTTCCAAAATACACATCATGTGATATCAATTATTCACTGATTGCTGTTTTTCCTGACGCCAGGTGGAATGACGCTTTTTTGCGAATACTGTGCTATTTTCGTAACAGCTGTGAATTTGCAACAGTTATTCATGACTGTTCGCTCAAGTTGATCACATCGTCAGCCATCGCCCTTCATGCTAATTCTGAAATGGGTGCATAACGTTATTTTGATGAGTTCA